TAAGTACTGCCGCTGTAGTTTACACAGAGCACGCTGTAGTAAAACGATCGTGCATTCGAAAGCAGTTTCAATGCCCCGCATATTAATAGCGGCTCCCTAATGCCTGCATTTTATATACAGTATAATTACCCAACGATATAACTGCGAGAGAAAGTATTGAAATATATATTTTCCCTGTGTTTCCTTCCTGCTGTGTGAGCTACTGAAATGAGCCGCACTGCGAAACAGCCAATCAGAGCAGAGCTCAACATTGAGCCGCACTGTGAAACAGCCAATCAGAGCAGAGCTCACCATTATTATTCACGACCCTTCCAAATAAGGTAAAAACAGACCATTTCATTCTAGGGACAAATCCTAGGGTTGTAAATGGACATGTAAAACCATTTCTGGAGATTTTTTGCCCTTACCTTAGCCACACACCTTCTATGTAGATATCAGAGAACAATTTAAAATATTGTATCAATGCATTCTATGGCACCTTTAAAGATCTCTATCTCATTGGCAAGACTTTATCCAAATGGATTTACAGTATAGGATATTTAAGCAATTTAACATTTACTACTCAATAGTTATGTATTTGTATCTTTAGTATGTCTACAGGGTGATGATGCATCATATTATTAAGGGAAATAAATGGAAACATTTGCTGATTTACTTGTTATTGCACAAAAACCATGAAAGGGGACGATCATGTCCCACTAGGGTAAGACGAGTACCTGGGACATATAGACCAGAGAAGTAAACTTATATCATTTTTAATTATTATAATTTGAAAAAGGTGTTATTGTCACTACTGATTCCTGAAGCAGAATTTTGTGACACTCACATTAATTTTACGGTAAAGCCACTTTGAAGCAGTTTGAATGGTATAAAGCGCTATACAAATAAACTTGAATTCAAATACTAAATCTAATATTTTATGTAAATTTAAGTGGTTATAAATTCAATTATTTTAGTGTTTAATAATTTAGATAATTTAAATATGTAAAAATGATAACTTTCATAACTTAATGTAATTTTCATATTTAATCATTTAGAATAGAATAATAAATAAATATTCTAATCATTTAATAAACTATTGTACTATTTAATATTAATAATAACTATATTTGGTGATTTAAAATGATTAAATAATAATCAGAAAAACAACAGATTAAACTGATGTCATAATAGCAATAAACTCTACATTTAGACATAATGATTCCACCAACTGGCCTACAGGTTGTGATGAATCATGAAGATGCTTAAAATGTTAAATATTAAGTGAATTTATAACTGAAATTATTAAATTAATTAAAACACCATCAACAACATGCCACTGCTGGTTTTCTGTCCTAAGTCTGAAAGGGGCATCGTACCCTAATAATCTCACTTTTTACTTCAAAATAAAAATATTTAGTATACAAATCTAAATGAATTACTGTATCCAAAAATACCCCAAATATATATTAAATGCCAAAACATTGTATTATTTAACTGAAAACTTTTTTTCCAGTTTCAATTTGGAACAAATGACGATGTCACAGATTATAAATCATGATATAATCATTCAATAAATGTGTGAAGGCAATCAAAAAAGCTGGTTACCAACCCTGAACTCCATCCCACATCTGCATCTACAGCACACTGTCCCACTCACCTGCCAGACAGCCGGTGGTGTCCATCCACTTCAGCAGCTGTCCTGCACCCAGCTCTCCCTAGTGGTTTGCATGGTAGGGCAGGATGGACTGGCACATCTGCACCTCCACCGGGCCCGACGCTTTCTTCCATCCCTTCTCGCAGGATCCGTCCGTATCTAACGTTCCTCTTGACCAGTTCTGATCCATGAGGCTGATCCGTGTTGAAATAACGGGAGGTCAGCTCGTTTCTCTCTTATCAAGGCTGATGCCAGGTGATCTCAACTCTGGCCAACTTGGACGACCGAGCTGAATACTTCTGCGAGCTGCAGGACACTATGTATTCACACACACTCACACACACACACACACACACACACACCTGTGCTGCAGTTGCTGCTACGACACATGTATTGTGATGTAATCGCCATGTGTGTTTTATTAACTTGTTTTATGCGAGAGTATTAAAGCTGCGGAGTGTCGACGGGTCACGGATGTAATATACTGTAAAATGGCAGAATTGAGGAGCTCTGATGCACCAAAAAATTTCAATTTACATCGGCGATTATCGTACATCAACGAACGACGACGGTGCTACTCATTCTGTGCGAGCGTTTCAGTTCAGTGTTCTGTCAAAAACTGAAGCGAGCGTTTAAATTCGGATTTATTTCGATTGGCCCTCAATATTTTTGATCACCTTTACCTGAAGAGGTACCCTGAAAAACTGTTTGAAAAACAAAATGTTGTGGTGTGGACTTTCGCTATTTAGAGTTAAGGTCTGATTACACCAACTTTCGATGGCGCGATAAACCGTGATGTAGTTGTAGGGTGGATTCTTATTGGCTGTCAGTGTTTTTATCGTTCATCAGAAAAACATTTAACGTTATGAAAAGGCTTGTTCACACCAAGGACAATAAATATAAAGATTTAATAATCATTCTAATTATATGAGAAAGTCTACAGGAAAGTAAAACTACACAGAGGAATGGTACCGCAATACCGCGGTATTTTTCACAAATTTTTTTTCCATCTAATGAACGATAAAAACATTGACAGCCAATCAGAATCCAACCCACTTTAGAAGAGCTGGAGCGTTTGATAATATTAAGACTTCACTATTCTCACAGAATAAAAACAATTACTAAAACATTATCTTTCTTGGTAAGAATGGGCTACAGAGCGATTTTTAAAACCTTATAGTTATTGGAGTGAACTGATCTAAAATTGTAGGCTTGACCAGAAACCAATATGCAATGATAAATAATGCAATTAAATTTTACCGAACAGATAAAATCAAATCAACAAAATAGTATCAGTGACTTTAGTGTAAATTGTATTTAAGACAATTAACTAATAATCTGGCTAACCTTGCTAAACCTTAACCATTTGCACATAAATATTATAAAATGTTAATCTATATATTATAAAAAGCAACAATTTGTATGTTTTCTCTTATGTAAACAGAAAAAAATGTCAATGAACACTAGTGCATACAAAATCACACATAAAAAAACAAGCGAAATGATTTGTCAGTCTGTTAAACAGCAATGAGAAGCTTTATATCAGTATAGGATATTCAAAACTTCTCTGTGTATTTACAAAAGTCAACACAAGGTAGAAAATAAACACTTCACAAAATAAGTCAAATAAGTCAAATGATAATGTTGTACACTCATGATGGGGTCTCTCTCATAGTCAGGAAAAAATCTGGGGCAAAAAGGGCAAATGTTATTACAAATAAACACGAAAACACCTCAGTTATTGTACAGTATTGTTTTAAATAATTCACAGAGACACAGATGAATCAGATCCCCAAGCTATAAAAAAAATTCACATATATATATTTTTGAAATTCTGCAATAATAATATTAATAATAATAATAATAACTCCACTTGAAAAAAAAATAAAAAATAAAATCAAAGCAAATCACAGTTTCTCCGGGTGACACAACAACGGCTGTATAAATAAGTTGATTAGAATGACAGATGTACAGAATTATAATTCCCATCCATGTGCCCTTCCTCTGAATGGACCAGTTTCCTTTTTCCAAAAAATCGTCCTTACTTCCTGTATTCACATGCAAAGATTTTCACAAAGAAAACGTCGTAATATAAGAGCAGTAAACGTTGTATCTGTGTACGTCACATGATTAGGAGTATTTTCAAAACATGACAGAAATATTCTTCGGTAACTGAAGCTAGTGCGACGATCTCAAGTTCAGTTTCGGAAGACGTTCCTCTCGCGTCCCCCAGTTAAGAATTTTGTGTACGTATGGAATGGCTGTTCTTCGTAGGCATCGTCCTGAAAAAGAAATCTCCTGTATATACAAACAAAACCTCCAGGGTATTGATCAGATTGGACTGCATTTGAGGAGCACAGATGTGAGAAGACCGAATACAGTAGGAAATGATCAATTACAGGTGTCAGTTGGAATTACGAACACATTTCCGTTAACGACAACTCAACCCGTTTCAATAAAATATGAATCAAACTCTCATCGATGACACAAAGACGATTATGAATCAATTACAGTGCATCCTCGCTGAGAAATTGATTTTTAGCATTGCGATTCTGCCATTTTACGAACTCGACCCCCACTGCATCTCAATAAGTGTTTCCTGCGATAAATCCGTTTACATAGATCTGTCAATTTACATCTTATTTCAAGAAAATATGATTTTGTTTTCGTTAAAAACAGTTCAAGTCCATCGTCTCTCTTTCTAGGATCAATATATGTCCTTTCATACACACATGCACATGTAACTTTGAATGTACACCCACATATATACACGAAGATATACGTAAATATAGACAGGCTGTTGATTCGTCATTCTCAGCCCAATGTGGTTCAGCTTTGTCTCTCGATGTGACGCGGCTGAGGAGGTGAAAGAATGACATTTGAAGAAAAAAGGAAACGAAGGAAGGAGAGAGAAAGGAGAGGCTTGGACCCATATTCTTCAGAGAGCAGAAGAGGGCTGGCTACAGCGCGCTTGCACAGGTTCCATGTCATGTGGTGGAATCCACCAGGATTTCCAAATGAGGTCTTCACACACTCATGGTCATGTTTGGAGAATACTGCAAGGACATTAGAGTTAGAGAAGCGTTTGAGTGGGTTTTTAAGAACTCTAAAGGAATTGTTTACACTAAAATGAAAATCTGCTGAAATTGGACTCAAACTCATTAACATCTTGGATGACCTGAGAGTGTTTCTTCATCGGGTCTGGAGAAAATTAGCATTCCATCACTTGCTCACCAATGGATCCTCTGAAGTGAATGGGTGCCGTCAGAATGAGAGTCCATACAGCTGATAAAAACATCACAATAATCCACAAGTAATCTCCAGTCCGTCAATTAATATCTTGAGAAGTGAAAAGTTGCATGTTTGTAATAAACAGATACATCAAGGCATTTTTAACGTCAAACCACTGCTTCTGGACAAAATACAAGTCTATAATCCATAACACCACTTCATTCTGTGAAAAAGTCCATCTGCTGTCATCCTCTCACATCAAAATCCACCAAGATATCTGTTTAGAACTGTTTTCATTAGTAAATGGTGCTTGATCTGTGCATATTTCTTTTCTGATTCCGAAGAGATTACTTTTATTACTGTAGAACGTAATATTATGGATAGAGGACTCTATCCATAATGGTTTTAAGATAAAAATGCCTTAATGATGGATTTGTTTTGTACAAACATGCAGCGTTTTGCTTCACAAGACATTAATTGATGGACTGAAGTCATATGGATTACTTGTGGACTCTCATTCTGACGGCACCCATTCACTGCAGAGGATCCATTGGTGAGCAAGTGATGGAACACTACATTTCTTCAAATCTGTTCCGATCAAGAAACAAACTCTTCCACATCTTGGATGACCTGAGGTTGAGTAAACTTTTAGCACAAATGCACTAGCACACAGGAAATGACATACACTCTCATTCTGGAAAGGGTTGAGGAAATTTCCGCCCATTTCTCCGTCATCTCTAGGAGTTCCAGGCTGGTTGCTCATGCTTAGGTTACCAGGAGAGTTCTGTACAGATAGATAGTGTGATTGTTCAGTCCAATAAGGTTTGTGTATGAAGATTAGGGCTGTCAATTTAACACATTTTAATAATAATAATTATAATAAAAGCTGAACTTTTAACAAGACAAGAAACCAAAAATGCCCATCTATCATGTAATGAATTTGATTAAAATATTAATAAATTGACAGTCCTAATTAAAATATGAAACAACAACTCTTACCTTGGGCATACTGTCCATGTCAGCTGATCCTAAAGAAATCATAGATTTCGGATTTTTAAATTATACTGTAGATGTATAGTTGCAAAGGCAGTACTTTTAAAATGCACATTAATCTTCAATGACCACAAGGTGGCATAATCACGCAAGACAAAAAATGACAACAAATCAGGAATTCAAGCATGAAAGCTGCGATTTCACATTGAATTATGACATGCTTTGATACTCTCCAAGCAAAGTAAGTGGACAGCACTCAAAGATGTCCAAGAGTACGTTCTAAAGTGGTTGTTTGTATTAGAGAAGCTCTTACCTAATGATCCATTCATGTGATGAGGCTCCATTCCTGCCATGCCGCCCATCGGACCATCTCCACCCGGACCAATAGGGAACTGTCAAACACACACACAAGCTCATTTAACGTTATTATAAAACTACAGAGAAAGTTTTGTCAGTAAGTACAGAATGAACAAATGCAGCTCAATATGACCTGAGTCGCATGTGTGTAAATATTTTAAACTCATCAGGATCCCCCAGTTAAGAATTTTGTGTACGTATGGAATGGCTGTTCTTCGTAGGCATCGTCCTGAAAAATAAATCTCCTGTATATACAAACAAAACCTCCAGGGTATTGATCAGATTGGACTGCATTTGAGGAGCACAGATGTGAGAAGACCGAATACAGTAGGAAATGATCAATTACAGGTGTCAGTTGGAATTACGAACACATTTCCGTTAACGACAACTCAACCCGTTTCAATAAAATATGAATCAAACTCTCATCGATGACACAAAGACGATTATGAATCAATTACAGTGCGTCCTCGCTGAGAAATTGATTTTTAGCATTGCGATTCTGCCATTTTACGAACTCGACCCCCACTGCATCTCAATAAGTGTTTCCTGCGATAAATCCGTTTACATAGATCTGTCAATTTACATCTTATTTCAAGAAAATATGATTTTGTTTTCGTTAAAAACAGTTCAAGTCCATCGTCTCTCTTTCTAGGATCAATATATGTCCTTTCATACACACATGCACATGTAACTTTGAATGTACACCCACATATATACACGAAGATATACGTAAATATAGACAGGCTGTTGATTCGTCATTCTCAGCCCAATGTGGTTCAGCTTTGTCTCTCGATGTGACGCGGCTGAGGAGGTGAAAGAATGACATTTGAAGAAAAAAGGAAACGAAGGAAGGAGAGAGAAAGGAGAGGCTTGGACCCATATTCTTCAGAGAGCAGAAGAGGGCTGGCTACAGCGCGCTTGCACAGGTTCCATGTCATGTGGTGGAATCCACCAGGATTTCCAAATGAGGTCTTCACACACTCATGGTCATGTTTGGAGAATACTGCAAGGACATTAGAGTTAGAGAAGCGTTTGAGTGGGTTTTTAAGAACTCTAAAGGAATTGTTTACACTAAAATGAAAATCTGCTGAAATTGGACTCAAACTCATTAACATCTTGGATGACCTGAGAGTGTTTCTTCATCGGGTCTGGAGAAAATTAGCATTCCATCACTTGCTCACCAATGGATCCTCTGAAGTGAATGGGTGCCGTCAGAATGAGAGTCCATACAGCTGATAAAAACATCACAATAATCCACAAGTAATCTCCAGTCCGTCAATTAATATCTTGAGAAGTGAAAAGTTGCATGTTTGTAATAAACAGATACATCAAGGCATTTTTAACGTCAAACCACTGCTTCTGGACAAAATACAAGTCTATAATCCATAACACCACTTCATTCTGTGAAAAAGTCCATCTGCTGTCATCCTCTCACATCAAAATCCACCAAGATATCTGTTTAGAACTGTTTTCATTAGTAAATGGTGCTTGATCTGTGCATATTTCTTTTCTGATTCCGAAGAGATTACTTTTATTACTGTAGAACGTAATATTATGGATAGAGGACTCTATCCATAATGGTTTTAAGATAAAAATGCCTTAATGATGGATTTGTTTTGTACAAACATGCAGCGTTTTGCTTCACAAGACATTAATTGATGGACTGAAGTCATATGGATTACTTGTGGACTCTCATTCTGACGGCACCCATTCACTGCAGAGGATCCATTGGTGAGCAAGTGATGGAACACTACATTTCTTCAAATCTGTTCCGATCAAGAAACAAACTCTTCCACATCTTGGATGACCTGAGGTTGAGTAAACTTTTAGCACAAATGCACTAGCACACAGGAAATGACATACACTCTCATTCTGGAAAGGGTTGAGGAAATTTCCGCCCATTTCTCCGTCATCTCTAGGAGTTCCAGGCTGGTTGCTCATGCTTAGGTTACCAGGAGAGTTCTGTACAGATAGATAGTGTGATTGTTCAGTCCAATAAGGTTTGTGTATGAAGATTAGGGCTGTCAATTTAACACATTTTAATAATAATAATTATAATAAAAGCTGAACTTTTAACAAGACAAGAAACCAAAAATGCCCATCTATCATGTAATGAATTTGATTAAAATATTAATAAATTGACAGTCCTAATTAAAATATGAAACAACAACTCTTACCTTGGGCATACTGTCCATGTCAGCTGATCCTAAAGAAATCATAGATTTCGGATTTTTAAATTATACTGTAGATGTATAGTTGCAAAGGCAGTACTTTTAAAATGCACATTAATCTTCAATGACCACAAGGTGGCATAATCACGCAAGACAAAAAATGACAACAAATCAGGAATTCAAGCATGAAAGCTGCGATTTCACATTGAATTATGACATGCTTTGATACTCTCCAAGCAAAGTAAGTGGACAGCACTCAAAGATGTCCAAGAGTACGTTCTAAAGTGGTTGTTTGTATTAGAGAAGCTCTTACCTAATGATCCATTCATGTGATGAGGCTCCATTCCTGCCATGCCGCCCATCGGACCATCTCCACCCGGACCAATAGGGAACTGTCAAACACACACACAAGCTCATTTAACGTTATTATAAAACTACAGAGAAAGTTTTGTCAGTAAGTACAGAATGAACAAATGCAGCTCAATATGACCTGAGTCGCATGTGTGTAAATATTTTAAACTCATCAGGCTCTCTTACATTTTGCCTGTTTCCTCCGGGCGGCACTGTGTTGATCATGGTGTACATATTTTCTCCAGAGTTTGTCGAGTCTGTAGAGGAAAAGCCAAACATACAAGTGCATCAACAACGTTTCAGCCAATGCTCAACTGATATGGCTGGAAAATGTATTTGGACACTTTTGGTCACTAAAGACACACTTAAGTATGTAAGTAAATAAATATTTATAAGTTTTAAAAACTAAAAATGATTCAAATAAATAAAAATATATACATATATAAATAAATCAAACACTCAAAAATATTGTAAAATATAAATACAAAAAAAAGTTATTGTTATAAAAAATATATAACATTTATGAAGTAAAATAATGCTATTGGTATCATTTAAAATTTTAAATAAATATATATAAATAAAACATTTAAATATAAGAAATGTATTTTTATAAATTACAAATTATTTAAAAAATAAAATTATATGCATGTACATAAATAAAACAAAATATTTTATTGCTTTATTTAAAAAAAAATAAAATGTTAAATAAAAATGTTATTGTTAGTTATAATATAAAAATGTTATAATTAAAACAATACATTATATAAAAATATATTATATAAATTATATATTGTATAATATATATACTTTATGTTTGTGTGTGAACTTTTTTTTATATTATATATAATTTTATTTTATTTTATTTTTCCCCCTCAATATATCTATCCATAATTAAATTAATCTTTGCATGAAAAACTATCTTCTGTAGTCCTACCTGCAGGGCTAGGCATGATGGGAGTCCCCGGGGGCCCTCCTCCTCCGGGTGGACCCTGAGAAAGAGAGAAGACAAATATTGTTCTGAATCTCATGTAACACAGATTAATTAGTTATATTTGCATGCACTTATGGCATGTACAGGTGTAATTGTGAAGACAGTCCTGTGTGTGTGTGTGTGTGTGTGTGGTTCATGACAGAGGCCTGAGGCCCTTGCTGTGGTCAGCACTGTGCATATCTGCTTCATCCTCCCTCTTCCCAAATCTAATTATCTCTCCCCCTTTCTGCTGACTCGGCTCTGCTTTCCCGAGCAGCTCGTCTTGTCTGGCTGCTTTCAGTGAGCTACCACAGCTTCCCTTCCACAAATCATCTCAGCCGGGAGTTACTGACAGCGGTTTAACTGAATATCTTGTGTAAATGTCTTAAAATGATGTGTTTAATCACACTGGGTATCTCAAATGTGCTTCAATGTATCTGGCAATGTCTAGTTGTGTGAGATTTTCACTTGATTTTTCACCAGTTTTTTAGATGTCATTCTACAAGCTATGTGCCTCATTTAAACAAATATACATATTCAGTATATGACATAATATAATACTATATCCAGTACAAATGTCTAAACATTCTTAAATCAAAACACATTTGCTAGAGAAGCAAAATGACTTAAGATTTGATGTTTTTAAAGAAACTATCAAAATTAAGTGAGTTTATGCTTAATGCAAGAAAGAAATGGGGTGAGAAAAAGAAACTTAATTCAAAGAGAAAATATTTTTCCTGACCTCACTGGCAGATAATTTTTATGTTTTAAGCAAAAATTCACCTATTTTTTTATATTTGTTTCATAAAACAGTACTTAAAATTGTCATTTTGCATCTCATAAATGTATCTAGAAAATACAATTTCAGTCTTTCTACTTAAAATGTAAAAATGTTTCTTGAGCAGCAAATCAGCATATTAGAATGATTTCTGAAGGTTCGTGTGACACTGAAGACGGGAGTAATGACGCTGAAAATTCAGCATTGCATCACAGAAATAAATGACATTTTACAATATATTACAATAGACAACAGCTATTTTAAACTGCAATAATATTTCACAATTTTACTGTTTTTACTGTATTTTTGATTAAATAAATGCAGCCTTGGTGAGCAGGAGAGACTTCTTTTAATAACAAAAAAAACTTTTGACCAAACAGTATTTAAATATTTTCTAGTAATGACTAGTAACAACATTTATTGGCTTCCACGACTGAGGACACAGAACTATCTGCGATCTGATGCATGTCTAACAGCTGGACGTGAGCATTCATGGCTGTAAATGGAGAGGGTCACGGCACTTACCACATAACCCCCTGGAGATGCCGAGGAGTACGGGATCTTAAATGCCACGTGGATCCGATCAGACAGAAAAAACAGAGAATGTCAACAAATCTGATGCTCTTCAAGTGCAAACCTACAGCTGTAGTGGCTGACTTTTCACAAGGACTGATTGGAGAAATGACTCACCGAGTTGGAATTTGGTGGATTTGGCCACGGTCTTCCTCCGGGACCCCTGTAATAGGGAGAGACGTGTTGTACTCATTGACTATTGTATGGCTAAGTAGGAAATAATCTTTGTTATTAGGCAAGTACTTGTTAGTGTAATAGGAAGTACGTACATATTCATCCCAGGCATCCCAGGACCCCCAAGAGCATTGAGTGGTGGTCTCATGCCTCCTCCATATGCCTGGAAAGATAGAAAGAAATGTAGTGAAGTGTCTTTGCATATAATTTAGATGAGAGATCTAGGGCTGCCCCCTAATAGTCGACTAATCGTTAGTCGACCAGAAGAGACTTGGTCGACCAAAATTGTATTAGTTGCAGGAAAAAAAAATCCCCAGGTGAAGTCATGCAGTTTGTGACTAACAGATCGTTAACGGCTGGTCTATGGTAATACAGTTCATCGGGCAGGACATCCAAATGCTCGCCTATCATTCATCGACCTCAAATATGGCTTATCATCTGAAATATGTAAGTATTAGCAACTTTACATGGCCGCTCAATCTAATGTTAAGCTCGAGAAATGTGCGGAGTGTAGAAGCTCACTCACTGCAGGACAGATGGAGGCACCGGTGAGCTCACTTACTCCTAAAATACTCAGTCAGTTTTGGTAATTCAGATAAGAGTAATACATCTTTCAAATCTGTAAAGACTCTACATTTGTTTGTGTGCACTCACAATAACAACAAAACATGCTTTTGTAAAATAATGAAAGCAAACATGATGCGCTTTCTGCCGTCTCGGTCTCTGTGAACTTGAGCGTGAAACTCTGTGTATATCTTTGCCTTACAGACATTAAAAATATATCTATAGAAAGTGAAACAAATTCTCAGATTATGTAATCCGTATGAAACATGCATACAAGCGCAGCAGTACTGCGGAGATGACGAGTCAGTGTCGCCGAATTCATCTCTTAAACCAAAACAAAGAAAGCACTTGTTTATCAGTGAATTATTAAAATGTTAATGCAGTCTCCTTACTGTTTTTCCCTGACACATTCATAATCATTCATTACTTCTGCTGGTGCACTGTGGCAAGCTTTATGCATGTGCTTGAGCGCTTATTAGGCTATGTAGGCAATTAAAGGCTCATTATAATGATTTAAATGGTTTATTAATAAACGTGCGATTAGTCGACTAATGCTTGAACGACTGAACGACTACTAGTCGACCAGAAAAATCCTTAGTCGAGGGCAGCCCTAGAGAGATCAAAACATACGGGTGTGATGGTCATACCTGTGGCCCAAGGGGTACCATCCCTCTGGGCGGAGTCATTCTCTGCATAGCCCCGCCCATATTTGGATGACCTGTCCAATCAAATGATCAGATGGAAACGAGTGGTAAATGCATTAGTTGAATCTCATGAAAGCGGTCAAGAAATGCCCAAAAAAATTTAAAAATAAATAACATATATATATATATATATTGAATTCATGTTGTCAATTTACATTTCTATTACAAGATATTTTGACATAATATTAATAATGTGCATTTAATATGGTAATATTAAATATTCACTATTACTATAGTAATATACATATTAGAATAATAAAAGTGGATATTTAATATAGAATAATATATAATATATAAATGACCTATTTTTATTTAGGATCATAATATTTTCATGACAATTAACCATCAAGCAATTGCTCTCATTATTATAACATGAAACAAAACAACATTATTATTTAATTTATGATGATTAAAAAATAAAACTTGTCCAGACTTGATTTTCATTACTGAATTACCATAATGAGAATGAGATTTTTTTTTTCTCGCATTACGATAATGAGAATTCTGGGGGAAAAGTGCTTAATTGTTATGAAAATAATGTCATCATGGACAAAATGGTCCTAAAATAGGCTTCATTTTCTTTACGTAAAATATAATTTATTTTTCGTTTTGATTCAGGTGTTAAATATGACCCAAATATTTCTTTGTGAGATTAACATTGTAAGGTTTAATTGCAAGCAAACCTTGTTGTCTTGATGGGTCCATACCACTGGGTAATAACGGCTGGTTTCCAGGGACTCCACCTAACGCCTGAACCAGTAAGATACAGTACAAATTAACATACACTTGTCAACATCTTCCAAGCAGGAGTAGATAAGGCCCATTAGGTGCCCTTGGGCTATGACATTAGATCAGGACCCAAAATATCACATTCATGCAGTCTGACTGGAAATAAAATGTATAGCCTTAAGTGACAGGAATAGGAAAAATATATATTATTTGAGGGAAATATTTGTCTTGGCTGAAAAGTCTTAGCATGACTCACAGCAAGTCAATTAGACAAGACTACAATAAAACATTTAAAGCTCCAATCACTCCATTATGAGTTTGTATTTCTATATTGAGATGGCATTGTGTATTAAAACTAAACTGAAATGGAAAAGCACCTGGTTGGGTATTCTGAGAGGAGGTCTGGGGCCGCCAGGATAACGGGATGACATGAAAGGCTAGAAAAAAGAAGAGATATCACGTGAAATCAGCAACTTCCTACTGTAAAGTCAACATAAAATCAAAATTGAGTAACGTATATTGGCTCACTAAAACCGTCACTAAAGCAACAGCTAGATAGCCAGCAGTGACCATACTGAACTGGGTCTGTTTTAAGATCAGTACACAGTGAGCTAGCTTTACTTCAGCTCTGGGGGCATTTACTTAAAGCTCGAGCAAATCAATAGCACCGAGAAAGTCTCAGGAGAACAGAAAACAATTATTTCCAAGCATCCAAGCGAACGAGGCCATTTCCACCTCCACATCTGAGGTAAGATTAAGAAAAAACCCTTGATGACAAAGTAAACATACTACATGTATCTAAGACGAGAAGGCTCAAGAAAACATCCCTATATACACTACAGAACAACCGGTTTGGTCAGTAAGATTTTTTAATGTTTTTGAAGAAAGTCTCTTATGCAAACATACAGTAAAAACAGACATTTTCTGAAATATTACAATTTAAAATAACTTGTTTTCTAATTGAATATATCTTAACGTAATTTATTCATGTGATGCAAAGCTGAATTTTCAGCATCATTACTCCAGTCTTCAGTGTCACATGATCCTTCAGAAATCATTCTAATATACTGATTTGTTGCTCAAGAAACATTTCATATTATTAACAATGTTGAAAACAATTGTGCTGCTTAATATTTTTGTGGAAACCATGATGCATGTTTTTCAGGTTTCTTTGATGATTAAAAAGTAGTAGAATGAATTAATATATTGAATTTTTTTTACATTCTATATATTGTGACGAGCGTCCCGAAGCTTCATCAGCGTCGCCCTGGAAACAAGCGAGGAGCACCTGGCCATCATCATCACAGGCTGATCGGTCACAGCTGCACCTCATCAGGCGGCGGCTACATAAGCCACGCAAGCCCTGCCATCTGAGAGATTCCTCCATGAGACTGAGCACTAACTCGCCCTCTCATTTTTCCCACAGAAAGCAGCGTGTGACCGACCAGCCCCACAGGAGCACTGCACGGACCCTCTGCACTGGGAAGACGGAAGAGAGCACTCACGGCACCGGAGCACCTACCTGGACCTTTCTCACTAGCACCCATCACACCAATAAATCCACCCTCCGGGTTATTGATTGAGATTACTTGTAGTGTGATTCTTCACCCCGTTACACTGGTGGAGAATGCACGCGAATCAGTGAAGAATCACCGACAAGCGATCTTCTTCACCTCACCTTTTTTGATGTGTTTAATCACACTGGGTATCTCAAATGTGCTTCAATGTATCTGGCAATGTCTAGTTGTGTGAGATTTTCACTTGATTTTTCACCAGTTTTTTAGATGTCATTCTACAAGCTATGTGCCTCATTTAAACAAATATACATATTCAGTATATGACATAATATAATACTATATCCAGTACAAATGTCTAAACATTCTTAAATCAAAACACATTTGCTAGAGAAGCAAAATGACTTAAGATTTGATGTTTTTAAAGAAACTATCAAAATTAAGTGAGTTTATGCTTAATGCAAGAAAGAAATGGGGTGAGAAAAAGAAACTTAATTCAAAGAGAAAATATTTTTCCTGACCTCACTGGCAGATAATTTTTATGTTTTAAGCAAAAATTCACCTATTTTTTTATATTTGTTTCATAAAACAGTACTTAAAATTGTCATTTTGCATCTCATAAATGTATCTAGAAAATACAATTTCAGTCTTTCTACTTAAAATGTAAAAATGTTTCTTGAGCAGCAAATCAGCATATTAGAATGATTTCTGAAGGTTCGTGTGACACTGAAGACGGGAGTAATGACGCTGAAAATTCAGCATTGCATCACAGAAATAAATGACATTTTACAATATATTACAATAGACAACAGCTATTTTAAACTGCAATAATATTTCACAATTTTACTGTTTTTACTGTATTTTTGATTAAATAAATGCAGCCTTGGTGAGCAGGAGAGACTTCTTTTAATAACAAAAAAAACTTTTGACCAAACAGTATTTAAATATTTTCTAGTAATGACTAGTAACAACATTTATTGGCTTCCACGACTGAGGACACAGAACTATCTGCGATCTGATGCATGTCTAACAGCTGGACGTGAGCATTCATGGCTGTAAATGGAGAGGGTCACGGCACTTACCACATAACCCCCTGGAGATGCCGAGGAGTACGGGATCTTAAATGCCACGTGGATCCGATCAGACAGAAAAAACAGAGAATGTCAACAAATCTGATGCTCTTCAAGTGCAAACCTACAGCTGTAGTGGCTGACTTTTCACAAGGACTGATTGGAGAAATGACTCACCGAGTTGGAATTTGGTGGATTTGGCCACGGTCTTCCTCCGGGACCCCTGTAATAGGGAGAGACGTGTTGTACTCATTGACTATTGTATGGCTAAGTAGGAAATAATCTTTGTTATTAGGCAAGTACTTGTTAGTGTAATAGGAAGTACGTACATATTCATCCCAGGCATCCCAGGACCCCCAAGAGCATTGAGTGGTGGTCTCATGCCTCCTCCATATGCCTGGAAAGATAGAAAGAAATGTAGTGAAGTGTCTTTGCATATAATTTAGATGAGAGATCTAGGGCTGCCCCCTAATAGTCGACTAATCGTTAGTCGACCAGAAGAGACTTGGTCGACCAAAATTGTATTAGTTGCAGGAAAAAAAAATCCCCAGGTGAAGTCATGCAGTTTGTGACTAACAGATCGTTAACGGCTGGTCTATGGTAATACAGTTCATCGGGCAGGACATCCAAATGCTCGCCTATCATTCATCGACCTCAAATATGGCTTATCATCTGACTCTACATTTGTTTGTGTGCACTCACAATAACAACAAAACATGCTTTTGTAAAATAATGAAAGCAAACATGATGCGCTTTCTGCCGTCTCGGTCTCTGTGAACTTGAGCGTGAAACTCTGTGTATATCTTTGCCTTACAGACATTAAAAATATATCTATAGAAAGTGAAACAAATTCTCAGATTATGTAATCCGTATGAAACATGCATACAAGCGCAGCAGTACTGCGGAGATGACGAGTCAGTGTCGCCGAATTCATCTCTTAAACCAAAACAAAGAAAGCACTTGTTTATCAGTGAATTATTAAAATGTTAATGCAGTCTCCTTACTGTTTTTCCCTGACACATTCATAATCATTCATTACTTCTGCTGGTGCACTGTGGCAAGCTTTATGCATGTGCTTGAGCGCTTATTAGGCTATGTAGGCAATTAAAGACTCATAATAATGATTTAAATGGTTTATTAATAAACGTGCGATTAGTCGACTAATGCTTGAACGACTGAACGACTACTAGTCGACCAGAAAAATCCTTAGTCGAGGGCAGCCCTAGAGAGATCAAAACATACGGGTGTGATGGTCATACCTGTGGCCCAAGGGGTACCATCCCTCTGGGCGGAGTCATTCTCTGCATAGCCCCGCCCATATTTGGATGACCTGTCCAATCAAATGATCAGATGGAAACGAGTGGTAAATGCATTAGTTGAATCTCATGAAAGCGGTCAAGAAATGCCCAAAAAAATTTAAAAATAAATAACATATATATATATATATATATTGAATTCATGTTGTCAATTTACATTTCTATTACAAGATATTTTGACATAATATTAATAATGTGCATTTAATATGGTAATATTAAATATTCACTATTACTATAGTAATATACATATTAGAATAATAAAAGTGGATATTTAATATAGAATAATATATAATATATAAATGACCTATTTTTATTTAGGATCATAATATTTTCATGACAATTAACCATCAAGCAATTGCTCTCATTATTATAACATGAAACAAAACAACATTATTATTTAATTTATGATGATTAAAAAATAAAACTTGTCCAGACTTGATTTTCATTACTGAATTACCATAATGAGAATGAGATTTTTTTTTTCTCGCATTACGATAATGAGAATTCTGGGGGAAAAGTGCTTAATTGTTATGAAAATAATGTCATCATGGACAAAATGGTCCTAAAATAGGCTTCATTTTCTTTACGTAAAATATAATTTATTTTTCGTTTTGATTCAGGTGTTAAATATGACCCAAATATTTCTTTGTGAGATTAACATTGTAAGGTTTAATTGCAAGCAAACCTTGTTGTCTTGATGGGTCCATACCACTGGGTAATAACGGCTGGTTTCCAGGGACTCCACCTAACGCCTGAACCAGTAAGATACAGTACAAATTAACATACACTTGTCAACATCTTCCAAGCAGGAGTAGATAAGGCCCATTAGGTGCCCTTGGGCTATGACATTAGATCAGGACCCAAAATATCACATTCATGCAGTCTGACTGGAAATAAAATGTATAGCCTTAAGTGACAGGAATAGGAAAAATATATATTATTTGAGGGAAATATTTGTCTTGGCTGAAAAGTCTTAGCATGACTCACAGCAAGTCAATTAGACAAGACTACAATAAAACATTTAAAGCTCCAATCACTCCATTATGAGTTTGTATTTCTATATTGAGATGGCATTGTGTATTAAAACTAAACTGAAATGGAAAAGCACCTGGTTGGGTATTCTGAGAGGAGGTCTGGGGCCGCCAGGATAACGGGATGACATGAAAGGCTAGAAAAAAGAAGAGATATCACGTGAAATCAGCAACTTCCTACTGTAAAGTCAACATAAAATCAAAATTGAGTAACGTATATTGGCTCACTAAAACCGTCACTAAAGCAACAGCTAGATAGCCAGCAGTGACCATACTGAACTGGGTCTGTTTTAAGATCAGTACACAGTGAGCTAGCTTTACTTCAGCTCTGGGGGCATTTACTTAAAGCTCGAGCAAATCAATAGCACCGAGAAAGTCTCAGGAGAACAGAAAACAATTATTTCCAAGCATCCAAGCGAACGAGGCCATTTCCACCTCCACATCTGAGGTAAGATTAAGAAAAAACCCTTGATGACAAAGTAAACATACTACATGTATCTAAGACGAGAAGGCTCAAGAAAACATCCCTATATACACTACAGAACAACCGGTTTGGTCAGTAAGATTTTTTAATGTTTTTGAAGAAAGTCTCTTATGCAAACATACAGTAAAAACAGACATTTTCTGAAATATTACAATTTAAAATAACTTGTTTTCTAATTGAATATATCTTAACGTAATTTATTCATGTGATGCAAAGCTGAATTTTCAGCATCATTACGCCAGTCTTCAGTGTCACATGATCCTTCAGAAATCATTCTAATATACTGATTTGTTGCTCAAGAAACATTTCATATTATTAACAATGTTGAAAACAATTGTGCTGCTTAATATTTTTGTGGAAACCATGATGCATGTTTTTCAGGTTTCTTTGATGATTAAAAAGTAGTAGAATGAATTAATATATTGAATTTTTTTTACATTCTATATATTGTGACGAGCGTCCCGAAGCTTCATCAGCGTCGCCCTGGAAACAAGCGAGGAGCACCTGGCCATCATCATCACAGGCTGATCGGTCACAGCTGCACCTCATCAGGCGGCGGCTACATAAGCCACGCAAGCCCTGCCATCTGAGAGATTCCTCCATGAGACTGAGCACTAACTCGCCCTCTCATTTTTCCCACAGAAAGCAGCGTGTGACCGACCAGCCCCACAGGAGCACTGCACGGACCCTCTGCACTGGGAAGACGGAAGAGAGCACTCACGGCACCGGAGCACCTACCTGGACCTTTCTCACTAGCACCCATCACACCAATAAATCCACCCTCCGGGTTATTGATTGAGATTACTTGTAGTGTGATTCTTCACCCCGTTACACTGGTGGAGAATGCACGCGAATCAGTGAAGAATCACCGACAAGAGATCTTCTTCACCTCACCTTTTTTCCTTGTTTTTGTCTCCGGGTTCTGTCACAGGCGAGCGCT